GTTAAACCAATACTTAATGATTTACCTTTTAAATGATGTGAAAAGACTTATGAATACATAAAAGATGTGAATGAGGAATGAAATTCAGATAGTTACATAAAAAGGCACTATTTGATGATCCAGTATGAAGCGCACACACACACACACGCCAACACATCTTGCCTTATCAAGGGAGGTTTCAGCCAAAAGCAGCTGTGACCAAGTCTTCGGGAATGGAAGTCAGAAACCACTAATTTAAATTTTTCATTTGTTTTTTGGAACAATTATGCCACCCACAAAATGGTAACTTTGCAAATCATCATTATCTCATGAATTTTGGAACGTATCCCTTAAATAAAACCATCTCATTTCCATATAATTACAGCAACTAATAAGGTCCTTAAAAATATTTTTTTTTTGCTCAAAATTTAAGAGTGTAATAAGGATTCCACACTACTGGCATACTGATCAAATCTGGAATTCGTTTCCTTAAAATAAGAGCTTCACATGAATTTAAGAGAGCTTGCCTTGAGAAAGAAATCTTCATGGTTTTCCAAGTTCTCTTCGATTGCTGTTCCCGCATGTGATCCCTTCTGACAGGATTCACCTGTCATATTCTCCATCCCTGTTATGTGGTAATTTACTGCATGTCATTTAGATTCATTTGTAACAAAACATAATGGTAATGACTTCAAGCTTTAAAAAGGAGAATCTGCACTAACAAGTGCCTTCCCGAGTTATTCTCTCCTCCTGTCAGCCTCAGGAAGATAGAAACAACTCCAGAGCATTTAGAGAGACTCTAGTGGACCTAATTCCCCATAACAGATCACTCAGTACAAACTAATTAGGACGAGTTAAATGTTTCCACTGAAAACACAAAAAAAGAGGAAGGTTTTTCTCTGCCGCCCGCTGTTTTCCACTCATTTCCTTCCCCAGAACCTTGCTGCTTACCGGTTTTCCTAACAGACTGCTTTAGAGGTGAAACTTGATGGTCCAGCCACAAGCAAAAGGGTAAATGCTGACGTGAGAATGTTCTCAACATCCCAGGGGAAAAACGAAAGTCCTTCTTACAACAATGTACAAACGTATCTATTACAGGCTGGGGAATAGGTTTCTGGGCTAGAATTTTCCTACCAGATTTTTTCTAGCTGTTGTATCATAAGTTTCCTCAATTAAGTATTTCTCGTTGGGACTGGCATCCTGCTAAGTATTTTTTCTATTTTTCTCAGGCATTTTAAGGAAGACAGCTGATCCATAAGGAACACTAAGCTGAACTTGAATGGCCCTTTCACACTTTCTAGATTGTATTTGCCCCTTTCTCGGGGTTTATTTAATACACTGTTAATAGTAGCATTTAGAGTGGGCTCTAATATTTGCCTCTCAGTTCTGCTCATTTGTTTAAGGTGTATCATTCCCTTTTTCCAGGTTATACTCATGGAGCAAGCCCCAGCCTCTGATTGGCTGTAAGCTCCCCAGAGTCTCCAGTTGGTGGACTCAGGCCTGAAAACATCTTTAATTTCAGCCACACAGAATTTTGTCAGGGCAATTGGCCTCCCGTTTTCTCTCCGGATGGCAAAGCATTGAGACATGGCACCTCCCTGGCCAACCTTGGACAATTTGTGAGGTTGACATGACCACTGGCAACAACTCACCACTCCAGCAGTGGAGAAATGTGGTGGGCCAGATGGAAAGCGGGAGATGATTCAGGCATATGGCGCATAGAGCTGGAGACAGTACATGGTTACAACCTTCTGCCAAGCTCTGACAAATAGCCGGGATGCACTCAAGCAAAGAACATGCCCTTCATACCAGCACACTCCTCTTAACCAAACTGTAACCCAGCAGCTCAGGTCTGTTGTACTGACAACCACCCACAGCCTCTCTTCCTTAATCTGAGGAGAAGCCTCCCAGCTGCCTTGCTTTTATTTCTGGATAAATTATTAATGGCTATTCATCCTTGGCACATGTAATTTTTAACTATGTAAAATATTTATGGGGGTGGGGAGGGAATTTCATACGTATTTATTCTTTTTCCTTGCTTTTACTGTAAATCCCAATCAGGCTGCTGACGGGGATTTTCCTTGCTTCTTTCTCCTCTGTGAACCTTATTTTTAACTCCAAGTAATGAATGCAAGATCGATAGCATAAGTAACAAAAGTATCCACGGTGACTGAACAGCAAACTCTTAAATCACTGCACAGTAAGTGCAAATGAACAATTACTGAAAACACTGCACTAAAATTTCAATAGGAGATAAGAGTGAGGCTTAAGTCATTAAAAGGGTCCATTAGTCTTGTAAGTCTGAGGCATCACACTCAAAACATGAGCTATTCTTGAGAACTGGAAATATTACATATTCCACCCACTTGCACACACACGGAACTGACTCCAACTGAGCAAGGATGGGGTCCAGTTGTCCAGTCCCTAAGGCGAAAGAGACACACAGAAAAGCAGGTAGGCTGAGCCAGCCTGTCCAGGCAATGATTCTTCAGTTATATTTGAAGGGGGGTATTGAGCAACGCTGACAAATTAGATTATTTACAAGGGAAATAAATATCCTGCTTATATATCAGTTTACCTGGCACTACAGCATCACCATGCTCCTCATCACTCCCTGCTGGAGATGCAAATAAAAGTCTGCTGCCACCTCAACTCCATGCCCACGAATCACCAGAAAAGCCCAGGAATGCAGCCCCACTTTCTCTTTGTCCATGTTCTCCCTGACTCAGTTCAAAAATGAAGAAGTAATAGGCAACTAAACTTCAAAGTGGAAGTGTTGTTTTCAAAAATTACCTGAAATAGCTAAAATTTTGGAAATACCAGCAAACACACGAATACACACACACACACACACACACACAC